AAAAAAAACAAATTCCATAATGGTTATGTTGCAAAGATGGGAAACTGTTAGTGGGATTTCACTGTTAGAACCTGGAGTTGTGTGAAACTGCAAGACTTGCAAATCTCTTCTTGTCCAATTTCCTCTTCCTTCTTCTCTTATATTTTGTGAAAGAAGCCATAGTCCTCAATAAATTACTCTTACACAGGAACAAAACCACCAGCAAGAAAACAACACATTTCTTGGAACATGACTTAAGTAATTTACCAGCTTTTTGCTAATGACCATTATTTATGCTGCATCTCACAATAGTCCTGATGCCAAATTCTGAGGGTAGCAATGGTACCTGAAGAGCAGTTGTGTAGGAATACCCAGGTAGGTTTCTGGGGAGGTTTCCTACGTGTATCTGATGGATTTGGTTACTGTTCCTGCCTCTCTGGATTTCAAAACCTTCTATCAATACTTACATTCCAAACTCCTGTTCTTAAATCTTGTGGATTTTTTTCAGTGGTGTTCTTAATTAACATCAATAATAATTATATTCCTTTATAGGTGAAGTTGAAGCAGAAGGTGAGGGCTCTCCTAAGCCCAAACGTATCACTTATGATGTGTCTAAGTTGATAAATTATCCAGGCTTTAATATATCCACTCCCAGTGGGATCCCAGATGTAAGTAGCTGTTCTCTGCCTTCTAAACAACGAGCTGAGGGACAGGAATTGCTTTTAGCCAAGAGTTAGTGTTTTGTATCTGCATCTGACAATTCCCTTTTAAGAGTCTCTTCTTTTTAAGCCCTTGCTTTGGGGCTGGGAGTTGTAATTAATGTGACAACTGATACTTGTCATGATTCTTGTGCTAGGGTCTGACCGTGCTTCTGTGGGCATTATTTCCATTATGAGACCAACAGGAGCCTGGAAGGATAGTTTGGTATTTTTTAAACACAAAGCTTCACACACAAATGGCTGTTCTTTCCATACATGTAAATTTTCTGAATGTTCTTGGAATATAAAAATCACTGTGGATGTTTCCATAATTATAACTTGATAAGAAAAAATTACATCAGACCGGTCAGTGCACAACTTCTGCAAAGCTCTGTAACAACTGGAATTAAACAAGTCATAGCAGAAGAGCCACATAGTGGATGTCCTCTTAAGCACAAAAAAAATCTCCTGTGGGTGCTGCACTTTTATCTTGAAAAGCATTTTAACCTCCTGTCAGTGAATTCCATCACTGCTCTGAAAGGAGCACTTGTGCATTTGCACCTTTACATTTGCCCATTTAGTGGCCTCCAAATGTGTTTTTTCATTCGTGTTATTAACCAAAGTTCTGTTATTAACTAATCATATGCACCATTATTTCTCATTTCTCTTTTTTTTTTTCTTTTTGCTGTAGGAGTGGCAGATGTTTGGTTCCATCCCCATGCAGCCATCTCAACAGAAGGATGTTTTTGCTCACTACCTTTCTAGTTATCAGGAGGTAAATATATCTCCTTGTTATTAAAAAAAAGTGTTGTCTTTTAGTTAGTGTAAGTCATGATGATTTCTTGCTTGTATCTTCTTTCTGCACAAGGGGACAGACTTTTTATTGACACTAGTGAGGGTGAAATTTCGTCTGGCTTATCTGTTTTAATAAAAAATGGCTTCATGTTTAAAATTAATAACATTATTTCTCTTAATATAAGCAGATCCCAGTTGTGCAAAGATTTGTAAGCAGTTTGGAAAAAAATTGCTATGAATTTACACAGCCTGCAAGTTCCAGACTCCCCTAATAAATGAGAAGCTTGGTTTCCATGGCCATGGAATCCCTCAAATTTATAATAAATTACTATTTACACACTGAGTCCCCAAATGATTGCATAGTTAAAAAATTGCTATAATTCTTACAGCTGTTACCCTGTACAGGATAATACTAATTATTTTTGGTTTTGTGAATAATTTCTCTGCAGCCAAGTCCAAAATCCGGCAGCAAAAGGGCTGCACCACAGTCAAAGTCTCGTCATTCCAAACGACCAAGAGAAGACACTTCAGAGATAGCAGCAGCTGACATGGACCTGGACTCTGGTAAAATCACTCTAATTTTTGCTTTTCCTAATTTCAACTATTATTTTTAGAATAACTTGCTCTGAATTGAAATGTGAGAGTTAAAAGAGTAGCCAATATGTCAGTGTTTTGGTGGTAATTAAAGGCAGTATTGACAGAGGCCAGCAGTGTCCTCTTGCAGTGGCATTTGCTGTGACTGTCACTGTGATTTTTATGTCCTCTAGTACCAAGCAGGAGGTTTCAGTTGTGCTCAGATCAATTTAAATGTTATGTTAAAAATTCTGATCTCTTTACTTCAGGAGCATCCTAAAGAAACTTATGTTAAGCCCCCCAGATCTCTAAATATTTAGATGAAATAACATAAATTTTCAAGCTTACAGCTTCCTAAAAATGAGGTAGGCTCAAAGGAGGATTCAGTGTTAAGTGTTAGAACAGCTGGAGAAACTTCTGGCTTTCCTTTCAAAATCTGTCATGATCTTCAGTGTGGAATGAGTTTGTTCTTAATACCTTCAAGAGTAATTTTTTTTTTTTCTTGAATGGCTGGCAGAGATAAAAATCCCAAAAATCCATAGTTTTGGTGGATATGAAAACCCTCACCAAGTTTGTTCTGTCTCAGCTGAAAACCAAGGATGAAAAGACATAAATCTGGCAGTTAATAAGGACATTGCCACTTTGAATCTTGTCCTGATCAGATTTCAGGTTCTAAAAAGTGTCTTTTAATCTCTTTCTAGATCTGGAAGGAGCACAGAGATCTCAAACTCCCAACAGTTTTCAGTTCCAACCTCCACTGCCACCTGGATCTCCATCCATGTCCACTCCTCCGCCTGTGCCACGAGGAACACCCCCAGTCACACCCCCTCAGCCTTCCACACCCACCCACTCTCCCTTCCCCAGGACTACTCCACCACCAAACAATGACAGTCCTCAGCCCAAAATAGTGGACTCAGTGATGGATGAGGATACACTGACCCTGGAGGAGCTGGAGGAGCAGCAGAGGTTAATCTGGGCAGCGCTGGAGCAGGCAGAGAGCACAAACAGTGACTCTGATATTCCTGTTGACACACCTTTAACTGGGAATTCCCTTACATCATCACCGGCCAGGAATGAAGCAGATCTTGTTGCAGAAGTCAGGTCACCTGAGAAAGTGATCTCAGTAGAAACCGAGTTTGCTGACATCAGTGAGCAGATCCCAGAAAATGAACATTCTCTAACCAGTCCCAATCCAGAGGACAGTTTGCTTGACTTAAAGGAAAATTCTGATAATGCAGTTTCTGAAGGCCTGCTGGATGACACCCTGCCTGCTGCCAACCCTGAGGTTAATGAGGGGGAAAACACAGCTGGTAATGAAGTGCCCACAAGCACTGGATCATCTGTGAAAAAAACTGGACTTGTTCCCGACATGAGCAAGTTTGCTGCAGGCATTACACCGTTTGAATTTGAAAATATGGCAGAATCAACTGGGGTTTATCTACGGATCAGAAGCCTGTTAAAAAAATCCCCAAGAAACCAGCAAAAGAAAAATACTTAAATCTTAACTGGTCATTTGTTTTCTTATATCCAAATCCCTTCTGTTTCCCCACCAGATTCACAAACTCAGATAACCTCCCTCATCTTATGAAAAAGAGAAAATCTTGACAAATACAGGTCTGCCCTATTCTTCCTTGGTATTGAAGTCAGTGCAGGTTTCCATCTTGACCAAGACCACCAATGCAGCCAGAAAATATAGAATTTTCCCAAATTGCATGCTTCCACTAAGGAATAACAGGACTGGTGATTTGTTAAGACCATTTTATTTGCCAATACTCGAGACTCTAAAATGCAGAGTTTGTGGTTTGGTGTTCATTATTTTGGCTAAAATTTATATTGTCCTTGAGTTTCAGGTGGATTGGTGGTTTTTTAAATATCTGTCCTTTGTACAATAATCTACACTTTATACATTTTGCTAATTATCCTGTAGATAAGTTTAATATATTCTGAATGTTTTTAAAAAGGTCTGATGTTAAGATTTCCCACATCAAAGTCCTGGCAATTGGAAGAAAACAATTGGGGATTACAGTGCTATTTTCACCATTTCAAGTATTTTTATAAATTATTTATGTGGGTCTGTTTTAATTGCCACTGTATCTTTTGTAGCCTTGTCCTTCATGTAAACTTGCTGTACAGACGTGTTCGTGGTTGTCTACAGAGGTTTAATAAATGAGCTTTTGGCTAAAGAGCTTTTAATTGGACTCCTAAAGCAGCAAAATGCTGGTTTTTGAAAATCAGCTTCTGAAGAAAATTGGGAAAACAAGCTGAGCAAAATGAGGATGAGTATAGTGAAATGTTTTAGGAAGGGCCACAACTGTTTGCTTCATGTTTTCTTAATCAAGAAACTTAAAATTCTCTTAGCTACTTAAACAGAACCTTGCCATACTATTAATTTACCATAATCTGAAGGGCTGCCCACTTCTGAATGCTTAGAAATATTATAATCATGCTGATTAATTGTTCTAACACTTTTTTCCCTTCTTGTCTCGAGAGGAACCTGTGGCTGAAGAGACTGCACATTGTTCAGTTGCCAAGAGAGGGAGCACTAGATCAATGTAAGCATTTGTCCTTCCAGAAATGCAGGAAAAGTCTCCCCAGCCAAGTGTAAAGCAGAGTAAACCAAAGCATTTTCAAGTATCTAACAAAAAACTTCTGAAAGGGAATGTCTGTAAGATAATGTTAGAGTGAACTTAATTCTTTCAAATTCTCAGCTTTGCAGTTAGTACATATTGCCCAAATATCTTTAATGACATTGGTACACTCTGCATTTGAATCTCAATGAGAACCCCAGGGTTTTTGCAGTTAAAGCCTTTATTTATTTTTCTTTTTTTTCTCCCTAAACTTTACAGGAAGGCCAAACCAAAGCACCTTTATATGTGAATTCTGAGAGGCTGAAAAATCTTTTTGCAGCATAGTTGAGTTTATTTGGTTGCACTTGGAAAGCAAGTCAAGGTAAATGTTCATTATATGTTCTAAAATGAATAGCTTTTTCCTTTCTAGTTTATAGGAAAAATAGTATTTTTATAACAGGAGTGAACCACAAAATAATGTGCCGTTTCCACCTTCTACACACATTTAAAGAAAGCTCTGTTGGGAAGCATATGGAGGTCTGGCACTTTTTCCTCCTCCTCCTTCCATGGATTTAAAAGCCAGTAATGACAGTTTACAGGAGCCTTTGTGTGCTGCCTCATTGCCACGTGGATGATACAGGGATGCAGGGCAGGAGGTGATGATTGCCAGTGCACACCTTCTGGGTGTGTTGTGCTGCTCATATTTGAAACATGCAGTTTTCTCACCACACCTTAAAGATCTGGTTTTAATGGCTCTTAGGAAATGCTGCTGCCTGAGTAGGACATGCAGCCTAAACTAAAGGAGTGCTTGTGGTTTCTGTGAGCAAGGCAGAAGAGCACACAAGATAAAAATCATCTTTACGTGCTTAGAACCTTTCAGTGCTCTGTATGGTCCATTCTCAATCACCCTTCCATGTAATTAATTGGTCACAACAGATAAGCAAAACAGTTGTGTCTGAAGTATTTTAATTTATTCTTTTCAGTTATTATAAATATATAACTATTCAGCTATTTATTATTTTCAGTTATTCTTTTGTCTTTCAAACTGCAGTGTTATAAATGTTTCTGTAATGCTTTTTTTTTTTTTTTAATAATATTTTTGTGATATGTTTTGATCTCAGTAAAGCAGGCAGGGACTGTTTAATTTCTGGGTTTAATTTTAGTAATTTAATTTCAAATAAGGATAAATGATACAAAATTCTCTGAGAGCACTCAGCGATATCTTTTTAATTATTCTTTTAAATATTTTTGGAATTCTCCTTTCTTTGGAGGTGGCAGTCAACATGGATAGTGCTGTGAGAAAACTGAACCAGTAAGTAAAACTCCTCCTGTATTTACCTCTGCTGTAAGACACAGTTAATTAGGGATGGGGAGTTATCTCTTCTGCTTCTCATGATGAGGAATTCATTCATCTGCATCTTTTAGCTATTTATCTATAATTCACTGTTCTATCAAGTGCTGCATATTGTTGCACTGAAGATGCTTGTAATTAGTGAGGTTTTTAATCTCTCAGCTGTAACTACTCAAATGGGTTTTGTATATTGAAACTGCAATCAGATCACACTCTTAAATCCCAAGGAAAAGCTGAATAGGAAAGTATTTTGGGTCCTTTTAAGTGCCATTCCCATGGTGATGGGTGTGGCATAATAACCTAGATTAGAGCTCACTGAAATGAATGAGTAATAAAATCTGTGATGAGGTGGGTATAGCATAAGCAGGCATCACTCAAATTTTCCCACAGACTCCTGTTGGCATAGTCCTCCTGTTTATTTACAGCACTTGGAACACTAAAAATATTTTAAAATGCTCATGCACGTCTAAAAAATCAAATCTCTGCAAAATATTCTGAGTATCAGATGGGAAGTTGTGTCTTCAAAAGATCCAAATTTCTGACTCTAAATTTTTATAAACCAATTCACAGCACTCAAGACGTCAAGAGAAGAGAAATAGCTGAGATCCTAGAAGATATCTGAAAGATGTGGTAGCTGCTAAAAATAATTATTTCACTGCAAGCTCTGTGAGGCAGCATAGCTGGAGAAAAAAAAAAGAGAGAAATTAAGAGGAGGAAAAAGCTCCAGTATAATCCAAGTGTTTCAGTTGCCATGGAACCCCGTAGCACCTTCATTCTGTGCCATGGCTGTGCTGCCCCTGGGAAGGGAATGCCACTGAAGATTGATGCTGTTCCTAAGAATACAGTGCAGAGTCATTGCTACATTTTGGGGGGTGGGAGGGGATGATTCAGAGGGAAGAATTGTTCGTGATTCCTGGAGTAACTTTTAGAAAACAGGATGGATTTAATAAGTGGTAATTACTGTGTGACAATTGGACACTTCCTAGACTTCAGACAACTACAGCAGCAGAGATGTTACGTAAGATTATTTGCAACATGTGTTTAGTTGTCACCCATGAATGAATGAACATTTATTTGTCCTTTAGAATTCAGCACTCAATAGGAAAAAATCCTTCTGCTTTGCTTCGCTGTAGGTGAGAATTCAGCTTTTGTTGCTATTTACATAAGTGCTAGAATGATTTGCATCTTTATTAATAGACTGGTTCTTCAGTTATCAGGGAAATGAAACACTCATCAAGAGAAACATTACTGTTAATTTAAGTATCTTGTTTAAACCAGAATGCAGAAAGGATTCTTTTTTAATTTGTTCAAATACTTCTCTCTGTTGTTTTACCCATGTTAGAGTAGAACAAATAAAGTAAAATTGGGTGAAAGCTTGTCTTGAGTAGCTCACCAAAGAACATGGGCTTGTAGAGCTTTTTCTTTTATGGCTGCTAAATAGTCTGGCTGACCTGAGGAAGGGAAGCAGTAAGTACATTAGCAGTGAAAAGCCTTCTTGCAGCCTTTACAGAAAATAAACTACAGAAAACAGTAGTGCAAGTGCTGGGATTTTTGAAGCAGTACTTCCGAGATTAAAAAAAAAGCAATTAGCTGCCTCTTCTGTAGCAGATGTGACCATCAGTTCTGTATAGGAATTGCCAGATGTGCATATTGAGGAGATAATTCAGATAGAAAAAAAGGTTCTCATACTTGGATGAATACATCCCATTGAATAGAAAAATGGATTTCTTCTGTAGAAAGATCCTTACATTCAGTTCTTAAAGGACAACATTTTTGCTCTTTAGAAAGCTTCAACAACCTTGGAGCCTTCACAAATCTGAAGAAGGGCAGAAACAACTGCAACTGGTGTTTCCACATTATTGAGAATTCTAATTTTGAAGTGAGCCTTGTCCTTGTGGTCAGGATGCCAGTAGTTATGATGGCATCCTGAATTTCCCTGGAGCATCCAGCAATTCCTGTTCTCATGGAGTTACGAAAATGCCTATATATTGTTTATTGACTGATATGATCATGCAGATCAGAAAACAGCCACCAGGACTGGAATCAAAAGATATTCTGGCTTTCAGTCATATCTAATCCTGTAGAGGAGTGTGGTTTATAGTACCAAGATCTTTTATTACAATGATTCCTACAAATTGGCTGTGACCTCTGGGTGCAGACTGGTATACAGAGGCTGTCATCCATTTCCAGCTGGCATGAACTGAAGTTGCAGTTGCTCCAAAGCTACATTTTCATAGTGTGAAGTTGATTCTGGTCAAAGAATGGATAACAAGCTCTCTTTTTCTCCTACAGGACTATTGGATCTTGAAGCTGAGTCTGTTCAGTAGGAAATTACTGGAAGAAACTGTGGTACATTCCCTTGACCTGTGTGACATTCTCAATTCTTGCCTTAGTCCAGGACATTTTTACCATAATCTTGTAAGGGAGTGAAGCAAACTATTTACAGATTTAAACATTTTATCCATTATTTCCCCACTGTTACTGTTCCCAAATGATGACAAGTTTTACAATAACAACACAAAGTTGCAGCTTTAAGTTTTCATCGTTAAGCTGTCTTGTAATTCCTGTGCTGTGTTCTAGATTCATCAGTCTGATATTGCTTATACAATTTTAATGCTGTGCACTGAACTGCAACCATTTGAGATGGACTTACATGGTGGCAAATTAACTGGGAGACAAAACATCAAATTAATGATGGAGAATGATAGATACACTTAGAGAAAAACTCATTCTACGTTAGCATCAGATCAGTACAGAAAGTTCAAATCTGCACCACCAGAAAGAAGCACAGAGGTTCACCACTGCAGCTCTCAAGCCAGCAGATATTTTAGGCAAGTGTTCTGTAAAGTTAGTACAACTCTCCAGTTTCTACCTTTATTGCATTTTTTTTGGGATTATTTCCATAGCTAGGGGCTGCAGGGTCATTTTTAAAAAGCAATCCTTTGCTGGCTCTGCACTTCTGAATACAACCCAATGTTTAAATCCTGAAGTCTTTATTCAGTGAAACTTTTATCAAATTTTGCAGGGAGAAAGAGGGATGGCTGTACATTAATTCAAATTCTGTTTCACCATATAATGGCCATGGCAAGAGATTGTGTTTAATGTTTATGAAGTGAAATTCTAACAAACATTGCTAAATGCTGATGTAGTTGAAACCTTTTATTTGGGGGAGTGCATCACACCATTTTGTGCTTTACCGTGCTGGATTAATGCCAAAGAACGAAGCCAAAATGAAACACAAATTGCAATCAGTCCCCAGCAATGGAACTGCTTTCTCATCACCCTTTTGTTCGAATGGCATCATGCAGAAACCCAACAAGCTATGAGACTGCAAACTGAGGTTTGCTTTGTGAGGAATTCAGCGGTGATGGGCCAGCTCTGGCTGGGCTCTGCTGCCTGTTTGTAGGAGGGGAAGAAGTGGAGCAGAGCTGTTTGATTCAGCCTTGAAAATCGGTATTAAATTGTTGATGATGGCATTGGGGCTGCTGCTCCAGCTGTTTAAACTTTAGCAGTGGGATAACGCCAGCTTCCAATGTGTTGCTTCACAAACACAATGAAAATAAAAATACCCAGTACTTTGGGATAATAAATTTCTGCATGATGAATTTCTGGGCATCAGGACAAAAGGAAAATGGAGCGAAGCAGCAGACAGTGAAGTTATTCACCCACTAGAGCGATGTGCTTCACACCTCCCCGTCTGTGCCCACCCTCTCCCCCTCCCACCCAGCCGGGCTGTGCCGCAGCGGCGGCTCCGGGACCACCGGGCGCGGCGGGCTCGCCCCGAGCCGGGGCACAGCCGCTCCCTCCCCCGAGCTGCGGCTGCCGCGGGGCGAACAAAGCGGGGGGCGGACAAAGAGAGAGGAGGGGGCTCGGGGAGCTCGGGGGCACCGCCGGTGCCGCTGCCGCTGGTGCAGTCCCCGCCCCGGCGGGCGCAGACGTTGTGCCCGCCCCGCTCCGCCTCTTGCGAGCCGGGGCGGCGCCGCTGCAGAGGGGCCGCGGGAGCAGGAACGGGAGCGGGAGCAGCAGCCGGAGGAGACGGCGGGAGCTGCGCCGGCGGCGGGGCCGGTGAGGTGGCGGGGCAGGAGGGGGGGCCGCCCTGAGGAGGGCGCGGAGCGACGGCGGAGCCTGAGGGCGGGGGGAGCCGCGCCCGCCGCCTCCCGCCTCGGGGCCTCCGCGCTTCCCGTCCGGGCGCCGCGCTGGGCGGGTCTGAGGGCGCGGGGGTCCGCGCCGAGGGGCCGTGAGGGGCGGCGGCGGGGCCGTGAGGGGCGGCGGCGGGGCCGTGAGGGGCGGCGGCGGCGCTGAGGGCTGTTAGCGGCCGCCGCACGTGCTGCCCGCGGGGGCCCGGCCGAACCCCGTCAGGGCGCGGAGCAGCGGCGGGACGGCCTCGTCTCCCTCAGCCTCTCCGGGGTGCTTGTCCGGAGCGCGGACGCGAAGGTTGGATCGCAGCCTCTGCTCGAGTCTCTTCCCGGGGAAGCTGCGGCGCTGTGCTGGGTTAGTGGTGGCTTTGAGTGGCTGATTCTGAGGGAAGAGGTCTGGGTATTTCTTATATTCCTTGGTTAGGGCTGACCCGCAATTCCCTGCATCTACATACCGATATTTTACTAATCATCTACCTTGGCTTTTTTGGATTTGTTTTTTATGGCCGCTCCCCACCCTCGCGTTGTTATAAAATCTGCTGGTTTCCAGGTGAGCTGCTCTGGCATCCCCTCAGGTGGCTCAGGAGAGTTTGCTGCCATGTTCTCGGCGCTGTCAGAGCTGCGGGATTCCCAGGCACAGGCGCTGCTCCAGGCCCCTCCTGCTCCCGCTATAGTGCTGTACCTCAGGCGATGCAGTGCTCCCTTTTCTGTGCCATAGCTGTCATGGGGCACAAGGTAATTGGTGCTGTTACTCACAGGGTAATGTGGCTCCTGCTGCATAAAAAAAATCAGGAGTTAGTTTTCTCTTTCATCTTGTTGCTGATTCCGTGCTTTAAATAATTTTTCGAAATATAAACAAACAAAAGCCAACACCAAAGAAATTTTCCAAAATAGAGCATGGGGAGAAAAATCTACTTCGTGATTGTATATGTTGATGATTAAATATATGACTGTGAAATGAAGACTTGTTCCTCCCCACCCCTTCACTTACCCTCTGTGCTGAATGGGCAGGGTTTTATAGAAGTTCACAGGTTGCTTTGAGATCTTTGAGCAGAAGGCTTTTAAAACATGTGATATACTTGTGTTGACATGTAGGAAGAAGAAAGAAAAAGAGGTACAAAAGAGGAAGTGCCTTGATGCTGGTTGCTTTGCAAAGTATTTTATTGAAAGAACAGAAATATGCATTCTGAATGTAATGTAAATTTGAAACTAGCAACGGCAGAGAGTGGTTTTCCTGAAGTGTGTCCATGTGCACCTGCTGCAAGAGTAGGAAGATTGCAAAGTAGATACTGTGAAGGAAAAGTAAACACCTCCCCTCCACCCACAGCAGCATTTCTTATTCTAAGGAAAGCTTAACTGTTCATCTTTTACATGCTGAAGATTGTTAGTTCTTACTTTAAAATTACAAGATTTCAAGGTTTTCTTCCTGCTCAGTCCTTGTATACATGCTGGGAGATTTTCTGTCTGTACTACAGTGCACTAAAGCTTTTTGTGTACTGAAGGGAGAGGGATGAGTTGTCTGAAGCAGAAAAGCTTGGAAATGTGACCTTAAATGTCCATATCTTTAGGGATCAAGAGGGAGATTTTATTTGGCAAAAAAAAGTTTTACATAATTTGTATGGTTTCCCTTAAAGAGAAGATCTCAGCTTTCTAGGGAGGGTGGAACACCAGCTGTCTTGTGTGCTCATTCCAGATGTATTTTGTAGGAAATAGCAGCATCTTTCCTCCTGTGATTACACTGTAGGAAGGAGCAGTGCTCTCTCTGCTGATTGCTACAACTTCCTAGAGCTCCTGAAGATTTCCTGTCTGACTTTCAGGTTGTATCTGTTTGCCATCTTCTGACTGTGGATGCCCAAGACAGCCTTTATTTACTCAGCTTGGGCAGATTGCATCATTCCTTTAGTGTTCCTCCCTTTATCCTTTTAGCCCTGTTAAAGTTTTTCTTGGGAGGGACTAAGAATATATCAAAATGGATCCTCCTTAAAAAGGAATAGAGTGCTCTGCCTTGCCAATATGATTTTTCAGAGCTGCTTTTCTTTCTCTTTCTAAAACACTTGGGTCAAATGTTAACTCTGTATGTTGAATGCAAGTTTTCTAATGTTTGAACATGACAGCCATGAATGAATGCAGCTCTTGTTTAATCCTTTGGCATTCCTTAGGGACTGCTGGCTCTGCTGGCATGTATAAAGAGTAACTCACTGGAATCCTTATTGGAGCAGCATGTTTGGAAATGCCTCAGATGGATGGTGTTTTGTTATTTCATGAAAGGCAATTATATACTGCATTAGCTGTAATCTCAGCTGCCCTCAGCCCCATGCCAGTTTCTGCTGGAGAAACCATTTCGTTGGTGTTGACCAGCAGAACTCTGTCAGCAGCTCCCTGATGATTTAAACCCCTCCTGCTTCTGCAGGTGTCTGTCCTCCACGTCCATTTGTTCTTGCAGAGGGAAGATTCACTTTCTGACTGGCTCTTAGAAGTACCCACAAATCTGGTACTGGCTCCTGGCCCCCAAAAGGCTGTGAAGGATTCAGGAAATGCATCTAGGGACAGGCTGTACAAGTTTATGCTTTATCACCAACCTAAGTTTTTCCACGTGGAGAAACATCTCATTAATTATTTGTACAAACTCGTAAGAATAGTACCATACATTCTTTTAATTTATAAGATATGTCTTCAGTGTTTACAGAAGAACCACTATTAAAAGCTATTCATTTTCCCTGATCCTTACAATCTTACTGTCTATATTTTTAGCTGCTTATGAGGGGAAGTTGCAAGGCAGAGAGAGAAATTCAGTATTGTATAGAATCAGCTTATTTGACACTCGCATTCTGCTGCTCTGCTTGGCAGCAGCATCCGCTCAATCACAGCAATATTTATCTAAGTTCAGAATTTGTGCTTCTCCTGTGCTCTCTGCCAGCCAAGCAGCAGTCATGGTGCTAATTTCAAAGGCTAAGAGTGCAGAGGGCTAAAAAGAGACAGCTGACTTGATGTTTTCACCCAGTGTGAAACAGTTAAAGTTTCACCCAAGTCTATCAAAATTAAATCCTTACTATAAAAAGCAGCATCTTTGTTTCAGCTGCTCGAGTTGTAATTGTATTAGGGAGAAGCCTTTGTGCCTTTAAATGCTTTGGGGCTTGAGGCTGAAGGGAGGTGATGTTTTCTTTCTCAAAAATTAAATTGTAGATACCAAATAATTTGAACTTGAAGCTCATCTATTCCAAAGTCATCATTTTATCCTGACTGATTGCACTTACTGGGATGGCTGAAGTGCATTATCATCAACAGAAGTCAGTGTGGACAGTCAAATTGTTATTTTTTTTACTGAAATGGGGGTCTTTGAGGAAAGACAAGAACTTCCTGGGAAAAATGTAGGAAAATTAGTAAGTGATGATAATAGGA